TAAATGTTTAATTGGTCATACCCCCCCCCCCTACAAAACTAGATAAAAATGTGCTAAGTAGTAAGTATTACAACTTGGGTAATCCAAGTGGACTGTCTTATTTTTCAGTAGCTAGATTTTATATACTAAACAGGCATGGCAAGATGTTCGCTGGGTAGGCTATACTGTTATATGGTTCCTAATTTTAATTCCTTATTTTAATAAAAAATTTGAATTTCATCGCAAAATCAAATATCAAGTGACTATAGTCAGGATTTTCGTACCAAACTTAATATCATCTAAGAACACCTTGTTGTAGCAAGGTTGAAGTATCTCTCAGGTTTTGTTAATAAAATATTGTAAGTCAGATTAAATTCATAGTAGGCTAATTAAGTATACGGTATTATAATTCATATTAAATTGGAGCGGAAAAGGTAAATCCTCTGAATTGTTATTCAAGAGTTGTTTACACCAAGGGCTTTACTTGACTTAATTCCAGATTTATCCTTACCAAATATTTAGACAACCGTATAACAACTTACCCTCGTAAAAAAATAATCAGTAATTCAGAATATTTATTTAAATATCGTTGGTGGCAGAAATATGTTTTTACTACAGATACAGAGAATTATTATGCAACTGATTAAACCAAAGAAGTAAAAAATTAAAATTAAATAATTGATTTATTGAATATTTTGACAGTCAATATGATGTAAACTGCTAAAATAACTTTTTTCACTAAAAGTAAACTGGCACTTTTTTATTAAATATTTAAAAAGTCGTTTAGCTTATTTTTGTCCAATGCCCAACCCTCTGATCCATAAAGAATGCAGGTGTTGTTTAAACTCTTGATTGAATGATATAGGGTGAGGGCACGTTTTGGGGGCGCAAAGGAATAATATCTGGTGTAGACAAGTGTTAGAAATAGAAAATGTTAGGATATGGTATAAATATATATCTTATGTATTATATAACAATCTTTAAAAATGCAGAAAATAAAAAAACTAACCTGGCTACATCTAAATTGTTTAAGCGTTTCTTACGGAAGATAATCGTGATTTCGTGTGTAGTAAATAATATTTAGTCTTGCTATTCTGTAAAACGCAATCGAATTAGGGTTTCTATGCAGGAGTCAAATTCGAGGTCTTAAATACGCTATGTTGTAAGTTGTAGTGATTTAGTGTAATTTACAGACAAATTATATTTTAATTTCAGACAATACATTAAATGTATTATATTCCTTCTTTAATCGTAAAAAAAATACGAAACCACAAATTCCATGTTTGGATTTTTGTAGATTTGCTGTCTACTGGAGTGCTAAGTAAAAACGAATTCCTTAAGATTCAAAAATAACTAAGAATAAATATATAAATTGCTTACACGGTTCATTTACTTAGGTGTGTTTCATTTTAAAGTGACAGAATGGTTTGTAGAAGTGTTGGACCAAATCCTTCATAATTTTCAAAAAGTTTATAAATATATCCAAGTGTTTCTAAGTACAGTATAGTACTAGTGCACGACTATCTAGTGTTTCCTACAGGAGGGTAATAGCTTTTTTGTCTTCCAGTAGACATGCATTGCATATCCAATACATCTAACCAGAATAGTCTTTAACATATTTATGTGGTTCAATAACTCCATAAGGATTTTTTTCCAAAATTTATCTCGACAAAACTTCAAAAGATTTCAGGCAGTGTTGTTTTACAGGTGATGAAAGATTTTATTTTTTTTCATTTAATATTTTTGTTACTAAATTTAATTATGGTGAATAAGTGAAAGAAACCCTTAAGGGATGTCTATGATTACAGTTAACAACGAATAAGTGCGTTTACTACATGTGACGTTTCCTTCACATTAAGGTTAGCGGTGCCGTTGAAGAGTATAAATTTAATGATGCAACTCACTTTGTATGTTTACTCGCAAATAACTGAAGAAAAATTATCTACTCTCCTGTTAATAGGACCATTCATAATCATCGGTGATTTTTTTCACAATGTATATCGATATTTTGTTTTCGTTTACGATCCATATTAACTCTGGTTTAATGTATTCAAACCATTTAAATTACAAATTGAGAACTGATCTTGTTTAGGAAAAAATAATAATGTATACAATGTATATGTTATTAAGAAATAAAACTGTTCTAAAATTACCTAAAATAACTTATAACGAAACTTGCAGTAACTAACAAAGACAGCTAAGGTGAATTTTTACAAAAAACCTGTTAAATGTTTCACAATATACCTTATTAAAATGCCCACTTAATGAAATATTTGGCCAGAAAAGACGAGTTTGAGGTATGTTTCTATTGCCTGCTGTGTAATGAAAGAAAAAAGGTTTAATCTTCATATTTAATTATAACAGGGAATATGGATGTGATATTTCTTACTAAGTCAGGCTATTTAACAGTCAGTGGAATTATTTCTTCTAAACGATTTAAGATTACGCTTGGGCCATAGTTTTATAAATTGAAAATAGTCATAAACTAATTTCTTCTCTACCACACTTCAATATTACCCATGCACATTCTAAAACAGAAATAAAGGATAAATACCATATGTTATCCTTTTAGAAAGCACTACAACGTCTTTGGTGTATATAATAATATGCGATTGCGGTTGTTATTAGAATAATGTTGTTAAAAGCTATACTAAGAATTATTATACAAGTATGTTTGTATATCCTTCGCATATATCAAGTGTGTTTGTAAATACACAAGAAGCGCAGTCATTTAAATAATGTATTCTAAAGGGACCAAAGCAAGGCCAGTTTTCCTGCTACTGTAGCAGTACTAAATGAATTATTCATTACAAATAAATGTAGCGTTAACCTTTCAAAATAAACATGGGAATTCTTCACCTATATTTACTTAAACAAAATAATCTTGAGGTAACTTAAATTTTTATATTGGAGAAATAAAAAAAAACATTGTTGATGTTTATTTGGTAAGACATTTGAGGAAAGTATTGAATATTTCTTTAAAGGTTTTCAAAGCACTGATTTGATAAATTATCATTAAAAATATATGTCTTTGTAATTTGTTTACGTATAAACCAACATTTATTGGACTGGGCTCACGAATCATCCCAATCCTACAGTAAGGTAAACTCGAATACAATGGGTTCCTCTTTTTACTTTGAGGTTTCAATATAATGTTATGTTATAATATTCGAATTAATCAAAAAATTAAATAATTATTTACAAAATCTATTATATTTTATTTATTATAATCACCAATAAAATAAAAGTTTTTATTCCAATGACGTTTTTATCTTTTTGGAATGCAGATAATATAATTATTGCTGTAGAAGGTTTGTTTTAAAATAAACTTGTATTTAACATGATATTTTAGAGCATTTAATAAAGAAAGAAATATTGTAATTCAGATTAACGAACGGGAAACTTGGTATACATCACAGACTAATAACTTGCTGGGAAAAATCAAAGATATATGGAGATAAACAACAAATATAATGCATAATATTATTTATAGTTTTTAGTATAGTTTAGTTAGTTTTACGGTACATTATAGATTATATAAAACAAACGCCCAAGCATGTAATTAAATTATTATTTTTTTAATTATAATTTTATCATGTAAAAATCAGGGACCTAAAGACCTTTTACAACATAATGTATTATTATTTAAGACCACGACTGTAACAGTATTTTATGCCATAATCCAAATAACGCTCATCATTATATAATCTAACCAATATATTGCAGTCGCTCAATCATATTCCAAAGCAAACTACAGCTTAATACACTTATATGTACAATGTCCAACAAATCGGGGGCTTGTTAATAAAAAGTTAATTAGTCGGATGAGTGTTTTTTAAGCAAACGTGGTTCTGTTCAATAATCTGAGTGATGCGTTTATGTTCTGTGAATGACACCTAATTAGATTTACGTTTCAAGCAAATTTAAGTTAAAAAAACGTTCAATTATTTAATATAAGTTGGTTTTTACAAAACTATCACTATGAAACAGCCCTTCTGAAAATGAATTGGTAGTATTTGTGTGGTACATTTTTATAAGATACGCACACTTGAATGCCTATTTTAAGCCAACTCAATAAATATATGACCACAAAGAAAAGCGGATTGCATACAAAAAGTGATCAAACTGTATTACGTTAATGTTAGCTATATAGCTACACAGGTATATTACAGTAACATGCCAGATTACAAGATTTTGGACTGACAATGACTTACCAACAGTCATAAAACACAAATTCAAAACACAACAAGTAATGTATGAAAGCGAGAGATTTTAAAGTAGATTAAACTTGAAGTCCTCAGCGGCAAAGTCAAGACTGAGATTCCTTCACGAACTTAAACTAACAGACTTAGGCACGTGTTAGTAGAACTTCGAGCTTAAGTCCGTTCAACTACAAGTTGGCTACGGTATTAGTGGTATTTAAGTAGCATAGATGTTTAAATGTACATCAAATTGTTAATATATTATACAAAGTAAGCCCTTTCTTGCGGGGGAACTTTACTGCATTTGTTTTATTAGGTTATTCAATACATATTTACTTAATTTAATTTATTATCACTATAAATATAAGTCCTATCTTCATAGCTCGTAAAGCTTTTATACTTTTATAAAAGTATATTAGCTAACTTATCACTAGACAACGTATAATTTGGCATTTAATGAGGTTTTTTTATAATAATCATCGAGTAGAGTGTTTTTAATGGTTAGACTAATTCTCCCTAAGTGTATGTATGTGTATGTGTACATAGCTACAGACCACACCTGTAGTCCGATTTTGATGAAGTTTTGTATATAGGTACCAATCCATGGTATCTCCATGGTATATCCCCCTGTTTGTGTGTATAATTTGTTATGATTAAGAATATGCATTATCTTATATTTACACGTAAGAGGGTTATGATCAAAGTTTAAAACATGTGTAATATTTTATGATTATTGATTCGCGCCATACATGTTACATAACCGTACATATGTTAGATAAACGGTGCCTAGTAATTGTCACTAACTAATTTGTCAACTAAACTACGTACTGTACATCCAGAGATACAAATGTATGTGCGCGTCTCGCTCTACCTTTAAAATGAAACTAATATTTACTGTGGTTTTTGGATCATTTCTGGTAAGATTTCATCCGTATGAACTAATTTGCTTTAATTACCCTTTTCACAATTTCTAAGCATTTGATTAAATACAAATTTCGTGTTTACGTGTTGTTTTTATTGTTTATTAAATATCATGAATTACATGTCTGTATCAAGATTCATAATCTAATATCATGAGTTAAGGTCTAAATCATTACCCGATATATACTTTTCCTTCTTCTTTAAAAAAACATTTTATGAGATAATTATATAATTTTGTATTGATCCCATTCTTTAATCACAGTTATATGTCACTTTGGAATAAATAATAACGTATGATATTTGTTGTTTTTTAAATAACTTTTAAGCCTTTCAATTGGCAATGCGGTTATAATAGTGGCGATAGTTAGTGTCTGATTGAAGAGTTTATAATATTTGCTTTTTGCAAGGTTTATCATCACGCTGTTTAAAAATGAATTTTCAAAACATTTTTTGCCTCTATATTACTCTATATAAGTCGCCAGCCACGCCCCTAAGTCACCAGCCACGTCACCAGTCACGTAACCAGTCACATCGCTAGCCAAGACATTAGCCACGTCACCAGTCACATAGCTAGCCAAGTAGCCAGCCACGTCACCAGTCACATCACCAGCCAAGTCACCAGTCACATCGCTAGCCACGACATTAGCCACGTCACCAGTCACATCCCTAGCCAAGTAGCCAGCCACGTCACCAGTCACGTCACCAGCCACGTCACCAGTCACATCGCTAGCCACGACACCAGCCACGTCACCAGTCACGTAACCAGTCACATCGCTAGCCACGACATTAGCCACGTCACCAGTCACATCGCTAGCCATGTAGCCAGCCACGTCACCAGCCACATCACCAGCCAAGTGACCAGTCACATCGCTAGCCACGACATTAGCCACGTCACCAGTCACATCCCTAGCCAAGTAGCCAGCCACGTCACCAGTCACGTCACCAGCCACGTCACCAGTCACATCGCTAGCCACGACACCAGCCACGTCACCATTCACTTAACCAGTCACGCCCCTAGCCAAGTCACCAGCCACGTCACCAGTCATGTCACCAGTCATGTCACCAGCCACGTCGCAAGCCACGTCACCAGTCACATCGCTAGCCACGACACCAGCCACGTCACCATTCACTTAACCAGTCACGCCCCTAGCCAAGTCACCAGCCACGTCACCAGTCATGTCACCAGTCATGTCACCAGCCACGTCGCAAGCCACGTCACCAGTCACATCGCTAGCCACGACACTAGCCACGACACCAGCCACGTCACCATTCACTTAACCAGTCACGCCCCTAGCCAAGTCACCAGCCACGTCACCAGTCATGTCACCAGTCATGTCACCAGTCACGTCACCAGCCACGTCACCAGTCACATCGCTAGCCACGACACCAGCCACGTCACCATTCACTTAACCAGTCACACCCCTAGCCAAGTCACCAGCCACGTCACCAGTCATGTTACCAGCCACGTCGCAAGCCACGTCACCAGTCACGTCGCAAGCCACGTCACCAGTCACGTCGCAAGCCACGTCACCAGTCACGTCGCAAGCCACGTCACGTAAAAGAACTGATTCAGTCCCGCACCGAGTGTATTAAAACGGCTGTATTTTCTGTTCATAATAGGGAAACACATGTTTTAAGCAACGCTGAACTTTTAGAAGTGAAGTCTAGAAAAAAGTCAAACGGTAGTGCTAAGTTCTAAAGGACACTCTGGTACTTATGTATTACACCGACCGCACCGATAAATTAGCTTGCAAATAAGATTTTAATTCGGTTAAATAACACATACTAATTGAATAGTATTGTCTATCGAGTCAATACATTGTTTTTACCTAACCTGACTAAAATTACGATAAGGTTAGATTAGGTGTGGTCGGTATAACACGTAAGTACTTAAACTCTTTTTTTTATTTATATTCATCCAAGTGCTATGCAAAATAAGGCCTAAGGTATCAAATGATTCTTCAGTCTTAAACATCGATTAAACAGGATAGCCAAAAACGTTATGTGACAGAGATTATTTGTAATTTTACAATTATTTAAATATTTAGAACACCCATCTTATTGAATTTTAATTTAAATGTACAGTGCTGTCCTCAAATGCTAGTCAAAAATCAAAAGTATTAAAAAGTCATCTGTTCAATAATGTTAGCATTAATAATGTTCACAGCTTTTTGCATAAGAGAATCCATACCAGCCTATATAGGATTTATGATAAGTATAACAGAAAGATATTTTGTTACACTGAGTTAAACACTGACGTTAAAAAACAGCCCTGCCACAGCAAACCTGCAGACTAAGCGAATTCCAATTTGTCTGGTTGGATTATTTTTCCTTCACCTGGTCATATTTCTTCTCCTTTCAAACAACATCAGATCTACTAATAGTCCAGTCAATGAATGATCCAAAAGTGGGTGTAGAGTGCAGGAGCAGGTAACTAAGCAAATCCTTCAGAAACTTGTTCAGGGAGCTTAGGGTGTTAACATACCAAAAGTCCTGACTCCTAGGTGGTGTACTAGGGGAAGGAGGTGGGAAAGAGGGGGGAGGGTAAAGGTACGTATTTTGGGTTTTTCGATTATATATCGAAAACTATCAATTTTTTGTATATAATACTAAATTATGAAATTTAAGAAGATTAAATTTCCTACAAGAAAAGTATATAATGCATTTACTTTGGTTTAACCATTTACAAGTTATTACTAATTTAATTAATATCTTATTAAAATACACCTCCCATAAGAAATACATGTAAATAAGTATGCAAAATGGGGCAAATCCTATTCACCCAAAAGAAATATAACCGATATTCATAAAAACTTGACAACATTTCTAGTAATTTGACATTTTAATAATAAAAATTGATCCAAAATTAGGGCGTGAGCGGGGTTACAAAAATGTCGTGTTTTGGTGTTTTTTTTTTTTAGAATCATAAAGAAAAAACCAAAATTATCCCGTTTTTAAGTGCTCACCCTCGCTTTAATTGTTGACCAAATTATATGATTAAAGTGTCAAATTGCTGGATATTTTACCAAGATTAACAGAATATCGGTTATATTTCCTTTGGGTGGATAGGGTTTGCCCCATTTTGCATACTAATTTACATGTATTTTAATTTTTTTATGGAAGGAGTATTTTATTAAGATATTAATTAAATTAGTAATAACTCGTAAATGGTTTAACCAAAATAAACACATTATATACTTTTCTTGAACTTTTTTTACTGTTTTTTTTAGAAAATTTCATCTTCTTCAACTTTATAATTTAATAGGCCTACAGGCCCAGTATACACAAAGATGATAGTTTTCGAGATATAATCGAAAACCCCAAAATGCGTACCTTTACCCCCCTTTCACCCCTCCAGCCCCTGGCTCAACACCTAGGAGTCAGGACTTTTGGTATGTTAACACCCTAAACACCCTGAACAAGTTTCTGAAGGAATCGCTTAGTACCTGCTCACGCACTCTACACCTCATTCCTTGACTGGACTGTTAGGTTTGCTAAATAGCAGGTAAACGGGTGTTTTCAGTGAAATGTAGGTTGGTATTGAATAAATAAATTTACCAAATTGAATCAAGATATAACAAGATATAAACAAGTAAACAACAACATTTTACTTTTTCTTAATGAAAATAGCTCGGATTTTTAAATTATTTTCTCCGTTATATTTATTTCAACAACAACGGTTCCTTATACACTTTGTTTGGGCCCCACTGGTTTCAAAGAAAATTTGGCATCGTTATATTTTAAAAGATTATGAAAACTCTAATTTTTCCTAATATTGGCTGGATACTTTTTTAAATAATGTGATCTACAACTTCAAGAAGAAGTACACTACAACTTTACACAGTCAATTAATTACAAACCCCATAACACGAGATTACCATGACCCCATCTTGCTGGTTCAAAATTTTTGTGATCAATATGTTTATGTTTATCATTTACACAATTAATCAGGATAAAAAGATTTTTTTAAATCTGAAATGGGATTATTCTGTTGCAGATTAGTCAAAGCTTAGCTGATATTTTATCATTTTCGGAGAAGGAGACGGAAATCAAAGGCCATGGTAAAACCGATGTTCATTTAATCATTATTCTTTAATTTAGCAGTTATTTTAAAACTTAGGTAACAAGATGTATGCGTGTTTGTTTGTTTGAGTGTAAGTCTGATCCAGCTTAAAACCAAATTAAACTATAGCGATGTTTAATCAGAATGAAATAATATCACCACTATGAACGAATACTTTGATAAGTGTTATTTACAAATGAATGAAGAAAAGTGTTGAATCATGACATGGTCAAAACTAAACATTTTTAACAATCTAGCAACAGCTGTAACATAATAAATATTAAAATAAAGTGAAGACCAAAGGCTTCACAGCGGTGGCTAAGTTGACGCCACATCAGCTCCCCGCAGAGACTGAAAGTCCAGGAAGGGTTAAATGTGAAGGTTATCCACCCAGAACTCAATCATGGAGGGTCACAAAGCTTTGAGGGACGAGAAGCGAGAAGCCCGACCATGTTTAGGGAGCGGGGAGTATGGCCATGTCCGCGGCAGTGAGCGCGCCCGAGTTCTCATGCAAACCTCGCATAATTTTGAAAATATACGTGGGAATGGATATCGATTTCTAATCTTTATAAAGTTAGACAATAGTATGGAACATTTATATAGGGATGTATTGGCCCTGGGCAGGATTTTTTTTTAAAGTGACTAAAAGGCCCAACATGTTATTCTTATGGGGAAAACGACCCAAGTGCCGTCATATTGCCATATATTGTTCTACTTTACATTTTCACCTGCAAGGGTTAATAAATGAAAGAATTAGCTTTTCAAGCTTTATTTTGAAAATATATAGGGGATAAATGGATTAGTCATATTTATAAGGTTGGACAATTATTTAGGGATATTAATGTAGGCAAAGATAAGGAATTTTGAAAAAGTGGCAAAAAATTATCCCCATGTTATTCTTATCTAAAAAATTGTCAAAGTCGTGTCTCTTTGCTATTTTGTCCCTACTATTATTGTGGTGAATAGTGGTAATAGGGTATAGTTTGGTGAAAAATAGCGTTCGTACCACGGACCAAAATGGTTTTGAAGCTCTCGATCGTTTAAGGTTCTCGACTTCGTCTCGAACATAAAAACTATCTCCAGCCGGCAAAACCTCATTTTCGGCCACATGACTAAGACATAATTCAATATGTATTGGTTAGTTTGTATGTCAGTGACATATGTCACAGTTCTAATGACCAGTTCTACTTGTCAAAAAGAACAGACTCATAGGAGTCTGAAACACAAGTTAGAAATGTAATATTTGTTATTGGTTGTAAAAAGCATTGTTTAACCTATTTAAGAATAAATGTAGTTTTTAACAACATTTTTTAATGAATGACGGTTCAATGAGTTGTATAAAAACGTAGGTTTTATACATTCCCTAGGTACAAAATATACTATTTAATAAAGCTGTATTTTTATCTTTCAGTTCTGGACTTTCCTCTACAACGAGATGAGCCCCAGTTTATTGAATCATGGGAAATCTTGCCGGAGAAAATCGACCCAGAAAATAAACTGAAAAATGGTGGAATAACTGAAAAAAACTTCCAACTCAAACCAGGCAAAAATTTGCTTGTTAAATGCGTAGAAGGTGACAATGAAGTTAATGCGTTTGTATACGGCTCAGAAGGTTACTTCATAGATAGATTGAAGCTAAAAAAAAGTAATATGGTTTGCGCACAATTGGTTGATAACATTTCTGTAGGCGAGACTTTTAGAGCTGAAAAGTTTAGATTCAACATAATCTACAAGTTTAATGTGGAGAGTAAACATTGCAGCTTCATCTTCATCAAACCTAAGACATGTGGTCGGTGTTATACCAGGGTTTACGAGATTACCACCACTCTTCACTATCACCTATTAAGGAGATTGAAAGCAAAGTATACGAACTGCAGGGATAATGTGAATGTAAGTTTAAACTAATTCGTCATGTGACAAAATATATCTTAACCAAGCCATATGGTGTAATCAAATTCAGGAATATGTTGAATATTGTCGTAATTTTATAGTTGGATTAATTTAATATTAAAATAAATCCACGAGGCTTCAACGGTAATTTATAGTATAACATTTCAGCTTTGCAAACTGTTATACCAAATTGTAACTGCATTTTACTGTTCAAAGTCAATCCTATGAGCTGTCTGTTAACTGATCGTTTAGGGTGTAAGACTTAAACTAATAACAGTTAGTTTTGATCAAAGCTGATACTTAAGTAGTAAGAGGGGAATATGTAAAAGAGGTGGTAGTTAAATTGCGAAAATTTGACCTACACTAAAGGTTAATTCACACACATCAGTCCAGTCCATTACAGTCCAGTTGCAGTCCAGTTACAGTCCAGTCACAGTTGCATCCGCAATTTCTCAGTCAATTGTCCGTCAGTTGGTTTCAGTCAGTCTTCCGTCTCTAATATTTACAGTAATTTACAGTCAAAAAATTTAAATTTTAAACCTATATTCTATTAAATTATCATTGTCCATCTTGTTGATTGTTACAAACAGTACTCAAAATACAAACGCAACCATTTAAATAACAATAACACTATTTTCTAACCTCAAACAGTTCCATCAGTCGTCCGAACAATCCAAAAGTATCGGTGGAAAGAAATCTGAAATTAACTGACGGATGCCGGTAGAGAGACTATCGGGACTGCAACGGATGAGTGTAGATAGCGCAATAGAAAATTCATTAAAGAATATTTTTGTAAACTGTGACGTGCCTGAAGTGACTTTACTGTGACGTGCCGTAACTGATGTGTGTGAATCGACCTTAATCCGGGTCTCGAGTTGGCCATGAACCAGTAGTTCGATTGTGACAAGACGGCTGGTTAAGATATCTCTAAATTCTAAAGTGCATAGCAGCGTACAAAAGCCAGTCAACCAAAATGATTTTAAAAAAATGGGACTTCTGAGAGAGTACGAAGTTATAGTAGTTTGTGGCAGTTAGAGGGAAGCATCATAGTGATGTATCCACTATATTATGTGACTAATAATTACGTATATAATCGGTAACCATAGCTGTTGGTGTAAGTTTGTCTTGTTATCCTGACACTGTACAGGTCAATTGGGAGTGGCCAATGAGTTTCCGATGTCCTCTTCAAAGCACACAACAGTATTTGCATATGATTCGGTAAAAACCCATAGGCTTTATACACTCAAAATCGTCATTCAAACATGTTTATACATGGAATTTCTCATTCATTAAAACTGTCGGAATTAATTTATTTAGTCATTTGTTAACTGTTTGTACTCTCGTTTCTATTCAGTAAGCGCATTATAGCCAAGCCAGTGCTTTGTAGCCATGTATAGCCAGACACCTTTTATGCGAAGGCGCAATATCCAAACTGGCAAAGCCGCGCACTACTCCAGCTGTTAAATGTCAAATATAATAACTAAAAAATGCAATATAAATGTACGGAAAGTAAATCAAAGAAACGTCTTATAACACTTAAAACATATATTTACTATTATATTTACTATTATTTACTATTATATTTACTATTATTTACTATTATATTTACTATTATTTACTATTATATTTACTATTATATATTTACCAACAGGTTGCAGCACCATTAGTTCTTTATACATTTATGACAACAGCTAATTTGAACCAAACAGCAACAAAACCCTGAGTGTGAGAACTGTACTTCTTTCTATTGTTTAGGTGAAGTGGTAGAACATTATGGCTATGGTAGATATTCTATATACTATAGTATATACTATAGTATATATATATATATAGTATATACTATAGTATACCATAGATTACAGTAAACAAAATTTTCTCAAAACATGTCCTCTCTCATTGCAAATGCAAAGCACGAGTGCATTGTATACCAACCCCGTACGAAGGACGGGTACTCAGCTAGTATAATATATTACAGCAGCCTACCTCTTATAGTCCAGGCAAATTAGATCAAATATAGGGTGTGCTCCCCAAAAAATCGTCTAAAGCTGGAAAGTGTTTTAATACCTTTTGGGGGTCCCAAATAAGACTCCTGTGAGTTTGCGACGGATTCTGACGTCTGCTTAAGTTTTGGGAGTCGAAAAACTATGAAAATTTTGCACTTTTTTCAGTTTTTCGCTTATAACTCCTAAAAAACGAATCCTAAGGAAAATGTTGTTCAGAGGTGTCTTTTAGTGCATTTAATTCCGCGTCGATTGATGTAAAATACGTCAAAATCGGCCGAGCCGTTTAGCCGCTGTAGCTTTTCAAAGTTCGGATATTTTCAATAACGTGGCCAAAAGGTTGATTATTGACCAGTTTTCGGCTTACAACTCCTAAACGACGCATGCTATACAAAAATGCACCTGTAGTTAGTTTGGAAAACACAAAATTCTGCGTATGACGTTTTTTTTTATTAATCAATAACGGCAATTGATTGTTACCTACTTTGTATGGTCGCCATTTCATTGAAAAAGTATTAAAGTTAAAGTTGGGAAATTTTACTAAAATTTGTAACAACATAGATCCTGTCCTTAAATGGATTATGAATTATTAGATAGTGGTTTATTCCATGATGGTCATCCAGAGGTTTATCTAATAAGGTGTGATGAGAGTAAGACACCCTATGTAATTTTAAGTCTAATATTTTTGTCTGAGGTCTCGAAAATTCTAGTATTCATATCCCAACCACCCATTATACAGGGTGAGTTTTAATTGTCCCCCTCCAACTTTTTTCTCCATTTTTTCGAATATCAATCCCAGACCACTTCCAAACATTGTTGGGTAGTAAGTACTTCATTTTGACAAGGTAGTCATTTCCGGCCGCCATCTTGGATCCGCCATATTGGATCCAAAATATTTTTTTCAAATGTAAAGGTGGGGTTGTGACCCAATATTTCGATCTATTTTTTTAAGCTTAAGTCAATGCCGCAATCCATTTTTTGTTACCAAGTTTTATTTATCAAATATTGCAATTTTTTTGTTAAAAATGTCTATATTTCAAAATCAAAATATGAAAATGAAAAACGGATCATGGAATTGAGTTTAACTTAAAAAAGTAAGTAATACAATGACTGGTAGTGTATACTTATCTTTATCTAGCACTATTTTGAGATTATGGTCTTAGTTTGTACATGCACAATGTTAACATGGGGTAAAAATAAAGTTTTAAAAAGCCCCCATAACTTTAGAATGAATCAAGATTGTTAAAAACGGTTTGTGGCATTGTAATTAGGGTAAAAATCTAGTTCGAAATATTGGGTCACAACCCCACCTTTACATTTGAAAAAAATATTTTGGATCCAATATGGCGGATCCAAGATGGCGGCCGGAAATGACCACCTTGTCAAAATGAAGTACTTACTACCCAACAATGTTTGGAAGTGGTCTGGGATTGATATTCGAAAAAATGGAGAAAAAAGTTGGAGGGGGACAATTAAAACTCACCCTGTATAATGGGTGGTTGGGATATGAATACTAGAATTTTCGAGACCTCAGACAAAAATATTAGACTTAAAATTACATAGGGTGTCTTACTCTCATCACACCTTATTAGATAAACCTCTGGATGACCATCATGGAATAAACCACTATCTAATAATTCATAATCCATTTAAGGACAGGATCTATGTTGTTACAAATTTTAGTAAAATTTCCCAACTTTAACTTTAATACTTTTTCAATGAAATGGCGACCATACAAAGTAGGTAACAATCAATTGCCGTTATTGATTAATAAAAAAAACATCATACGCAGAATTTTGTGTTTTCCAAACTAACTACAGGTGCATTTTTGTATAGCATGCGTCGTTTAGGAGTTGTAAGCCGAAAACTGGTCAATAATCAACCTTTTGGCCATGTTATTGAAAATATCCGAACTTTGAAAAGCTACAGCGGCTAAACGGCTCGGCCGATTTTGACGTATTTTACATCAATCGACGCGGAATTAAATGCACTAAAAGACACCTTTGAACAACATTTTCCTTAGGATTCGTTTTTTAGGAGTTATAAGCGAAAAACTGAAAAAAGTGCAAAATTTTCATAGTTTTTCGACTCCCAAAACTTAAGCAGACGTCAGAATCCGTCGCAAACTCACAGGAGTCTTATTTGGGACCCCCAAAAGGTATTAAAACACTTTCCAGCTTTAGACGATTTTTTGGGGAGCATATGTCTAATTTGCCTGGGCTATTAACAGAAATTGTCATTTCATTTTTTTTCAGAAAAATGCAGATAATGAAAGTGGTACGTATTTACGATTAGAATTATAACACTATTTTGGGCAAGAAGTCTAATATAACGTTTACGGTCTACTTGTTTATTTATGTATTGTATCACCCTGTCTTTTGTAAGTTAGAATGGTATGAATAGTAATAAATCCAGCTACCCCCTTCCCCAATCATAATTAATAAATAAACACACACCACTAAACCCAACCACAACGAACCACCCGGCAAACCTCGAACCACTCCCACAACCATGCTGTCTCAAAAACAACACCCAACCTACTTTCCCCTAATCAGCTCCCCTAACACTTTTTCATTATTTACACGTATCTGTCGTGGTCGCAATCCTTTCCCTGACTGAATAGGACTTAGTCCTGGAAAAGCCTCAGTCCAGTAGGATTTCAGAGCCCTGGACTGGAACTTCACACGAAATATATATCAACTTTTAGTCAAACTAGATTTATCATCTACAATTGTTGTAAGGATATAATTGAGAAATTGTGCTCTTTATTTCTTAGATTTAATATATTTCTGTAAACTTCTGGGTTCTATAGATCTGTTACTATAATTGGAAACGTTTAAAATACATTTTAAAAGATACATTTATTCAATTTATTAAAATAAATTATCCGTATTTTATAGTGGAGTTATTAGAATGGAACTACTATGAAGTCACAGAATTTCACCAATATGGTGATCCCGTTGGTGACCCTGTCTTCACCGATTTCAAAACTGATCAAAACCTCAAGCTCAAGTGCCAACAATACAACAAGATCCCGGCCGAAGTTTCTACAATAGCAGTAGGATTTATAATGTATAAAGAATATATAATCTTGGAAAAGTTATCCCTTGACACTTGTACGACCGGAGTTGAAGGAATATACATCAACAGAATGAAAATAAAGTCTTACCTTGAGATGGCCGAAGAATTTAAGCTTGTGTTTAAAAATAAAGATGGAAACTGCTTTAAAATGGACATTTATTATTTTATTAATAGTATTACCGGAGATGTTTCTATTCGTCGGTACGCTCCTGGTAGAGTCAATTGCCTAAATGATTGGACTAGTGACGCTGCCTTGGAAGTGGAAGCGCCTTAGTACAAGATTTACTGTGTTTCTCGGATAGGCTCATCTGATGGAAAAGATGAATCAACTAAATAAAAACATGTTGACATATTATTTGCTTATTTAAACCCTAGCATAATTGGTTACAGATTCCAAAGAGAAACTACAAATGGATAAAATATTAGTTCGATATTATATCCACTCAGATATACTTTTCACGTGCCATAAATATGGATTGTATGATTTCTATGACACTTCGCTGCGGTGGTTAAGTTACGTACGTTCTACTTAGTTTAGGTTATGATAATAGCAAACAAGATAACATAAAACAACATTTAGCAAATTATAAAAGGGATGAATTTACAAAGACGTCAACTCGATTTTTTTTCTTATTTTTTCATAAGCTCCTGAACTAAACACAACTTCCAAGAGAAGTTTACGGTTCTCTATTTTAACCATAGAACGGTATTCCCTCATAAATATTACGACGGCAAATAGTTCTTTTGTAACAAAATGTACATTTCGGCTCACACTGTACTGTCCGCCCGAGTCAACTTTACCCACACGCCAAGGAGTTCAGTGTTGCTTGAAAAGTTGTGCGGGGTTTGTTTTTTTTTTCGCGTCAGTGACGTAATTCGTAATTGTTGTGAGAGTATCTTTCGTGTGTCGTGTGTCTTAAAGTGTTGTGTAGTTTCTTAACTTTTACGAACGTATACCAATAACTACTATATCTATGTGTATTTGAACAAGCCTATTAAAAGTTCCGGTATGGGACAATACAGCAATATGACGTCACTTTAGGCGTTTTTTTCCCATAAGAATAACATGGGGGTCACTTTTTGGCAATTTTCAAAAAAAATCCTAAACTCTGCCTACATATCCCTATATAATTGTCCAACCTAGTATTAATCCTCACTTATACCTATATATATTGTAAATCAAGCTAAAAAATGAAATTCTTTCATTTATTGACCCACACAAGTGTAAATGTAACGTAGAGGCAATATAGGAAAGATAAGTCACTTGCGGCGTTTTTTCCCATAAGAATAACACGGTGGGCATTTTTTGCCAATTTTTACTTTCTTTCCCTATACCATAGTATATGGAGAAAGTATTGTTTTCGTCAACATTTTCGAGTTTGAGTTTTGAGTGGATATATTCGTTTTGGGTCCCCCTGGACCCAAAAAATTGGTTTTCGAAGTGATGTCGGTGTGTTTGTGTGGGTGTGTATGTGTGTGTATGTATGTGTATGTATATGTATGTATGAATGTATGTGTACCCTGAGTAACTTGTGTACCCAATTATCTATCCGTGTATGCACGGGCTCTCATATTTTAATTATTTATTAACGATCATTTTTGAAAATATATATTTACTAAATGTGATGAATATTTGTATAATCTTAAATACAGACTTCATATTCAAGCGAAAGGCCAAAAATTGAATCACTAAACTAATGCTTAAACTTGAATAACCTCGAATTCAAACGTTTGCTTGAACTATTCAGACGAAACGAATAATGGATTCAAGTGAAGTGGGTTAAAACCACAAATCAGAACGGATCAATGGAACTCGATGTTTTGTAAGGTTTGATATTTCAAAATAAGAATTGTTTAGTGAAACTCCAACGTACAGTAATAAAGATATGGTGGGAATATTAATGATCTAAAATATGTTATTATATAACGTTTCAGGTGTTTTTCATCCTGTTTGACACAATGTTTTCCTATGTAAAACATATGCGCTCATGTACCACGTGTAATAAAAGTTTTTCTACCTTTTGGAATTATATTTTATTTAAAAATCTGTTTAAAGTAAAATGAAGCAATATTATTTATATTTATTTATTAATTCTGAAAAATAAAATGTCTTTAATTTTTCAGATTGGATATTTAAAATTCGGTTATTTTATGTAATCACAACTCCATGAATTACTAATATTAAACAGACAAATTTTTTTTATCTAAAATTGACTAACAGACTCAAATTAGTTTTTAAAAATTAATAATAATAAATGAGAACGTTTATGGAAAAATATATAACCAAATGTAAAGATGTCCAGTTGTAATACTGGATTAATCTCTTACTGAAACAAACACGAAAGCCTAGCTTTTTGTTGCGAGAAAACACCCAAACAGAAAAGCTATTTATACTTGGTGTGTAAAATTAGATTAATTGGGTCCACTAATCCAACAAACTATTCCGTCCCCTTCCGTGAATAAGTAAAACTGTTTGTACACAATATTTGATAAAAAATACATATTTATTTTTAGAGTTATGATTTTTAACGTAACACAATATCAACGTAATAATTACATAAATCTAACGCAAGCTGATAATAAGACTTGATAACCACATACGTTTCGCATTTGGGGGGGGGGGACACAATAAAATATTCTTTATTTGAATAATTATGTCATCATACTAACCTTATTTGTTTCCAGCACTCCAAGACTTACTTTATAGCCATCCAACCATACCTGTTGGAAATCGAGTTATTTTGATATAGTACAGATTCAAGATTATCAGATTATCATATTTCAGATTATCTTGATTGACCAACAACAAAATATAATTATTTGTTAGGCTTTGGTTTTAATTAACATATGTTTTATTTTTATTGATTAAAACAATAGAGAAGAGTTGTGATAAGAATTTTAAGTTATCAAGAACATAACAATTTTGTTAAAGAGAAATGTTATAAAATATTCGTTATGTATCAGCATTAAATCAGTTCTTTATTATTTAATAATTGTAAAAGTTCTTTATTTTACACGAGTTCTAACAATACCACTTGTCCTTAATACATTACTAAAATCTTACATTAGGTTACATAAATTATAATTAGCTTTGAGAAATATAAATAATCACCTTCAAATTATTTTTATCCGCTGTTATTTCATACAGGCTTATATATTTCCCAAAGCAAATGATCAAAACTGAATTTAAGATGGAAAACCAAAGGTAAACAACTAGTCATGATTACTTTTTGATAACCTGTATCCTCCTCTGTGAAAGTAATATTCTTTTCAATGAATTGCAATATTTACAGCAAACGATATTCTGCCCTCAAGGAGATATCTGATACATATCGAAACGTAATGTCGTTTCTCTCAACAGTTTTGTTTTTCTGATCCCTTTACGCTTTAGAAACCCAATACTGTATTTTTAAGATGTATAGATATTGTCGATTATATAAATACATATTTTAGATATTTTTAACCTATTGAGAATAGTTTTGGAACCATTTCCGTACAGTATGCGTAATCTATTTGGTGTGTTATACATTTTTAAATTAAAACTATTAATTATTAAATTATTATCATGACTACTTCTTATAATAGTTTATCTTGTTAATAGAGTTAATATTATGTTTTCAAAAGTACAAAGGCGTTAAATTAATTAAAGTCGGTAGTTTTTAAATATTAAAAACAGATCTTAAGAAAAACAGTACAAACTTAAATGGCAACGCAATAAATGCACAACTATTTAATAATAATAATAAATAACAACAATAAACCCGAAAACCTTCACTCCAATAAAAACTATTATTTATATAGAATATATTTATTTATTTATAAATAGTCAGCACCATTTACGATGAGGGATTGCATGTAAAATTAAGAACTATAATACTAAAAATACGAACAATGCATTCACACTATACCTTACCCCAGACATACTGTATATGCAATAATCTGAAAGTGAGAAAAAAAACTAAAATAACTGATGGTATAAATAAGTCAATATTTTTAGAAAGCCTAACAATGTAAAATATTTAAAAAACAATATTAAGAAAAGGTTTTGAAATAGAAGTTTCAAAACCAACAGAAAGTATTGAAAAATAGACAAACAGTAAACTATTGTTATCATGGCACACAGTTAATATCTTTAAATGATGAATAAATCATCAGTGCTTTTCGATTACATTCACTAAATGATAGCTGTCAGTATTTATTTTATTTTTAGGGCCATGGAATTCACATAATGCTTAAATGAAATGTCCAGTTCAATATGTCGTCCCATATTGTAAGAGGAAAACCTGACATAACCACACATCAACGAACTTTCATAACCAAAATGAGCGTATATTTAGTATATATAAACATAATTTCGCAATTTTACTACGCTCTAATTTGGATTGTTTTTTGATATTTCTGTTGAATATGAAGTTTAAATCAGCCATCTCGTTAATAAATTAACTAGAAAACCGAGGTTTAAGTCCAAGTCCGTGATCGTGTAACGAATTCCTGGCAGTCAGAGAAGTGAGGCTTCACTTGGATTACACAGCAGTTTACACTTTCTCTCTTACACTTTTGGCACAAGTAGCTGCCAAGTGACTCTCACATAACTGTCAACATCGTCTCACTTTTTGGTTCAATCTATAAATTAAAGGTAGATTGTTATTAGAAAATTTTGGACAGTAAAAAACGACACAGAAACTATTATTTTATATATTTTTTTTACATCCGTTTGACGAAAATAGAAGTTTGTCCTTAAACACGCTTGTTTTAGAATATAGGATTTATGGGATCTCCGTTGTCTCCTATTTTTATTTTTATTTTTAAATACTATAAGTGAATATATCAAGTCCTTCCAAAGAGTGTAGTTTATTTAAGAGATAAATATATACAAAAGATAATCATAACCGATAAAGTTACGATTCTGAATCAAGTTAAAATGGTATTTTGTATGCAGAATCCGCCAGGAAAATGAAGTTTTAGTATACTTAGGAAGTAGAACGGGTAAAGTATTGTACATTTGCCGTACCATATAAAGGTTGTTCTTTATAGAGATGGTTTGTAATGTAATTAACTTCTAAAGTGTTGTTAAAATTATTTTACTTTGTTGTTTATTTTAGTATATAATTTTGTTCTGCAAACTAAATAAGACTAAATATTTGAAAATAAAACAATTCATGTAGATTGTTCTTTATCTTATGTCTGCGTAAATTATATTCTTATTATTAAGTTTTAAGCAAGTTGAAAGCTGGTTGAAAGCTCATCCAACGAAGTATATCTCCACAGTTTCGAACAATAGAGCTGTAATAAATTTTCTCAGGATTAACATTCTTTATCTAGGGCCTAGTTACT